CGGGGTAGAGGGCGGCCAGGTGGTCCCGTGAGCAGCTATCAGCAGCAGCCAAAGTTTGAGCTCGAGGGCTTAGGTAGTTTCTTTTGCTAATAAGCCCCTAAGGTTCTATCTTTTTGCATTAAATTTGTTAAGAGTTTGGATTTGATCAGTAGCTTTCAGGTCTTGTTAGGGTTTTGGATATAGGTGCTGGTTGTTGGAATTTTGTTGAGTTATGGGACCACTGAGTGACAGTAGGGTTCTCACTCATCAGATCTCTGATGAAACGAGGGTTGTTCTTGTCAAGAAAGGCAATATTTGGTGGGGTTAGCTGTGGATTTGGGAATTCGAATCTTGTTGAGTCACTTTTTTTGGGCAACACTCGTAGTAATGTTGTTATTATAGCTGAAGTGGATAATGAACTCATTCTTCAAGGATATCTGAACCTGACTTAGTTGGATAAGTTGCTCGTCTTCAACTGTACTAAATAGTCTTCAGTTGTGGAGTTGACGTCGCTTTTTGTTCTGATCTTTTTATCGATGATGTGACTTCAATGATGTGAAATTTTAAATGCCTTCGTTAGATCTTGTATCTTGTAGGGTCCAACTGAATCTTTGCTCGCAGTGTATAATTTTCACTTTCACATCTAATCTAATGTTTAATTAGAGAATATGACCGGGATTCGGTCTTTGGAGTCTTGTTCTATCAATTACTTTTCCCATTATAAAGTGAGTTCATACTTCATAACATGTTTGCTAATGATTGCTGGTATTATTGCAGGCGAAATGGTTGCTTGTGCTTCTGGCGCCAATTTCACGCCTCATATCATCACTGTTGCAGCTGGTGAGGTATGGCTTGCAAAACTTAATTGCATTTTCATTTGTATCTTCCATACTTTATGTTAGATGTTAACTCTATATGTTACTTTCTGTTATTTGCCTTTTTCCATGTATGAATTAGAATGACATTTGGAATCAGTATTTGTGGGAAATGACAGTGCACTTCTTCTGCATACTCTGTATCAGAAAGTAATTTAGGTATCATTTTAATGACAAATCACTTTGCATTTGTAGTTACATTAGTTGGTCGTGTCATGTAATTATTCCATTAACCTAGAGTGGTTTATTTTAACTTGAAGCAGAAGGAAATCAGATTCTCTCGTGGAGATCAGACGATACATGATTTTATTTTATTTTTGGATAAGATAAAACAAGGAAACTGCCTTTTCAAGATGTTACTTCATGTTTGTGTGGCCATTTAAGGAAATGATTGTGATGGTTTCAAGCTAAGTGGCCTGTGTGGATCTCTCCTTAATAGTTTTCTTTAGTTATAGGTTTGTTTAAATTTTTGAAATGTGGTCTCTCGAGTTAAAGCATGCCTGCCCACATTAGACTGTTTTTTTAGCTAACAACCTTAGGTTTTTGCTCTAACTCAAACTTTTTTTTCCGTGTGTTTGTGTGAAGGTGATAATAGAATTCATACATGTTCATTCCCCTTCAACGTCAAGTATCTTCAAAGATGAACTTGTCATGGATCCATTTCATGTAAAACTACAAATACATTACCTTGGCGTATCAACATAAGTTTTATGAGATACCCTAGCATTTGTAGGTACATTAGTTGGTCGTGTCATGTAATTATTCCATTAACCTAGAGTGGTTTATTTTAACTTGAAGCAGAAGGAAATCAGATTCTCTCGTGGAGATCAGATGATACATGATTTTATTTTTTCGGATAAGATAAAACAAGGAAACTGCCTTTTCAAGATGTTAATTCATGTTTGTGTGGCCATTTAAGGAAATGATTCTGATGGTTTCAAGCTAAGTGGCCTGTGTGGATCTCTCCTTAATAGTTTTCTTTAGTTATAGGTTTGTTTAAATTTGAAATGTGGTCTCTCGAGTTAAAGCATGCCTGCCCACATTAGACTGTTTTTTTAGCTAACAACCTTAGGTTTTTGCTCTAACTCAACCTTTTTTTTCCGTGCATTTGTGTGAAGGTGATAATAGAATTCATACATGTTCATTCCCCTTCAACTTCAAGTATCTTCAGAAATGAACTTGTCATGGATCCATTTCATGTAAAACTACAAATACATTACCTTGGCCTATCAACATGTGAATCGACATTGTTTTAAAAAGCGGTCTGGGCAACCGCTTAAACCTAAGCAGTACCTGTGTCGGTCGTCTAAGTCTTGGGAGCGCTTAGGGGAGAATGGGCTGCTTACATGGACTATATAGTGTTAAAAAGAGATATTGTTCGCTTAATCATAGTAATAATTGAAGAGAGTTAACCAGGTTAAAGTGTACCAGAGATCAAATCTCTATGTCCATCTCAAGTAAAATAGTGAGGATATGATTTAAAACTTCAAAAACGATACCTCCTCTCTCGATGTTAAAAATGTTTATGTGCCGCTTAAGCGTCCGCCTAGGCACCTAGGCGCTAGGTCTGGTGCCTAAAAATACCTAGTGCTTTCTAAAACATTGTGAATCAACACAAGTCCCCCAGCTTATCATGCTTTCATCTAGTACAATCTGGTTGATCAATTTCCATTCTCGATTGCATTAATTGCATTTATTTTGTTTTCTACCAGTAGAAATCCTTGGTTTGGTTTGATAGGGGTTGAGGGAAGGGAAGGCGAGGTAAGGGAGAAAAAAAAATTGTCTTTGGCAGACAATGTTTGGAGTGAAAGGTGTATTGAGGGTTAAGCAAGGCTGCTATATTATTGGCCTTGCTCAACTCTCTCTCTCTCTCTCTCTCTCTCTCTCTATTTCACTGTTAGCTCTCATCAAGGTCATCTCCTCTTCTAATATTTGGAAACAAAGTTTTGTAGCCTAGTTTGAATATGACTCTTCCAGCTTTATCAGTGAGTCAGGCTGCAGTAGCCCCTTTAGAAATTTAATTTTTTGAACTATTGTTGATGATTTAATTTTTTGGGTTCTGCATTTAGGCAAATTCCATAAGGCCCTTGTTTTGAAAATTTTGAATTCTCTGATGTTTTTTCTTTTTATCTATTTTTGTGCTTATAACAGCGGTCAGGTTTTTTTTTCAAAGAGAAGGTTCTAATGTATATTTGAGGGTTTATGTCATCCAGTTATTTGCTATTGGTTTAGCCGTGCTTTATGCATTTAATTAACACAATGGAGGGCTGTTATTTAGAATTCAATTTTTATGCTGGTTAGAGTTTTGGACCGAAATGCTCTGGTATTTTGGACTTGGACAAAAGCATGAGTCTGAATGCTCCTAGGAAATTATTAAAAATTTTGTCTCTTGACAGCCACACAAATAATTTTTAAACTAAAGAGGTGACAGATGTAACTTGTTGGAATATTGCAGGTTAGGAGATGCCTTAATCAACTATAAAGAAATATACAAACCAATCTAATGTTGCTCCAAACAAAAATAAGTACCTGGCACCAAGAACAATCTAGTACTTCCATTTGTCTTATGCATACATCAGATCACATGGTCAATTTCTAGTAACAAGTTTATTTTAATGAGAAGAGGCTGTTGACTGTTGATAACTGGGTTTTACTCATTGACTTATAATCCTAGTTAGGTTTCTAAAACTAACCTCCCTTTTATACTAGACACTGTTTTAAAAAACCTCCGCCTAGTCCGCTTAGGCGTTCGCCTAGGCCTAGGCGGTACTTAGGCCGCCTAACTAGCGCCTAGCGTCTAGGCGGTATTTAGGCTGCCCACCTAGATTTTACGAGCGTTTAGGGGAGCATTGTCTGCTTACGTGGATTGCACCCTGTAGGTCTTGGTTGTGATTTTATGTGTTGTAGCTTGCACGTCCTCCAAATCCCATTAACCTCCAAATATGAACACCTCCACTACCTCCTCCAACCTTCAACAAAACCTCATCGACCACCACTTAAATGAAGAAAGAAATCCGTCTAGACACCAGTCCGACATCTAAGCTTTCTGTAACATTGACATTCACTATCAATTATTATAATTAAAAATAAAAAAGAAAATATCTTAGGCTCTAGCCTTGTTAATTATTATTTTGGCTATTTAGTATCTAAGTATGCATGATTTATTGTAGAACTAAAATTGCTATCTTTTTTTGAAAATTTATATGAATTTAATACATATTGTAATTTGAGTTGAGATGAACTTATAATTTGAGTTGAGAAATATAAACATATAAAGAGCTATTGTAAGTGATAAACCAAGCAATTTAATTAATAGTATTGGTATTTTAGTATTTATGCATTTTTGATTGAGTATATATATTTATCTTCAAGTATCACAATTAAAAAAATAAAAAAATAAAAAAATACCCAGAAACCGCTTAAGCGCCCGCCTAGACGACTAAGCGTTGGGCGCCAAGTCCGACGCCTAGAAGCGCCCAACGTTTAATGTAACATTGATACTAGATCATTACAAAAAACCCAGGATTCATAACCTTTTCATTGACAAGTTTTTGTGTATGTTTCACTCTGTTTTTGGGTATTGTTTCTAACACAGACATCTACTGGCTCTTAGGATGTTACAATGAAGATCATTTCCTTTTCTCAGCGAGGACCTCAAGCTATATGCATTTTATCTGCTAATGGCGTCATTTCAAATGTTACGCTCCGTCAACCTGATTCGTCTGGCGGTACATTAACTTATGAGGTTTGTAAATGCATCCTTTGCTCTCTAGTTTCATTATTCTTAAGTCTTCAGCAACTGGTGTTTCTGCTGTACGAGTTTTTTTTCCCTCTATTCAATGAGAATTAGCTGATTATGATATTTAGAAGGTTTTTTTTATTGAACCGACTTTTTTGGTATGGTTTCAATTAGCATGTTGTCATCTGCCCACTTCAATTCAACTCTCAAAATAATTATTAAAATTTGACAATGATTATAGCCTTTTTGCTTTGCACATTGGATGTTAGGTAATAAAAGGAAAATAATATGTAAGATAAATGTTTTCAGCCTGTGTACCTCCTGTTTTCGGTGTTCTTACTTCTAAACTATAGATGACTTGCTTTATCTGCAGGGGCGTTTCGAATTACTCTCATTATCGGGATCATTCATGCCAACTGAAAATGGAGGAACAAGGAGCAGATCAGGTGGAATGAGTGTCTCTTTGGCAAGCCCGGATGGTCGGGTTGTTGGGGGAGGGGTTGCTGGTCTTTTAGTTGCTGCAAGTCCTGTGCAGGTGCTATTATGAAGTTTAGGAATTTTCAATAAATTATCATTATTTACTTTATACATGTAACTGTACATGAATTTTACCATTTATAGGTAATTACCATATGACCACTAACAAAACTTTAAAATGACAACTTTTGCCCTGGGAGGGATTTTTTTCTGCGTTAATTTTACCGTTCACTACAAACAAAGTAAAGAGGGACATTTTTTTGGTTGCAAAAAGTAAATCTTCTTTCGTCTCATTTTCTCCATGCCAACTTCCTCCCATCTCATTTGGCATCCTTCCCCTCTATCATCATGTCCCTACTCCATCTTCTCGTTGCAATGTTACCGCAAACCAAGAACCCATGTTCTCTTGGTAAGCCAAAATCATTGACAAGAGCTCTCTTTCCTACATGGAGTTCATTTGCGACCAATATCCCTGAGACGGACCCTAGTAGTCTACCATGGGATTGATTTCCTAGTGGATTTGAATGAGGACGTAGGAGCAGGAAGAATTCATGCATGGTGCTGCTGTCATTGCATAGGATGGGATTCAGGTGTTGGGTTGTTAAGAGGTTTGAGGATGAGAGTATAGAAGAAGAAAAAAGTTATATTTGTATAACTAACCGTAATACTTTATTAGAGTTAAATAGTCAAAAAAAGGGTAAGTAATGATCCGTTTTCTGATGAATATTTTAAAGAAATGTAGTTTTTAGCAATCTCACTTAAATTGTTTTACAATAAAAACCCTTTCACGAAAGGTGAATTTTGTTGAAGAGTAAATACTTATGTAGTTCTTAATCTTTTCAAAACTAAGTTTTTCATATTTTATGTTAGAGTAATATTTATTTGCTTTTGCAAATTATATTTTTTTTAAAGTTAAAACTAGTTTAGTATCATCGTTTTTTTAATAAGAAACTTTAGCTATTCTACAATAACATAATGCTTGTTAGCGGTTAGCCTACACAATCTGTTCACCAAAATTAGAATACACAAAAGGTGCTTAGGTCAGCGGTAGAAGGAAAAACAAATCACAATGGCAGTAACTCCTCTTTCTCTGGGAGAAAGAAAAGGTTAGGGGGTGGGGCCGGAGAGCAATGATATGGATAGCCAAGAAGTAGAATCATAGTCACGGTCAATTTTGCCAGAGAGCAATGATATGGATAGCCAAGAAGTAGAATCACAGTCACGGTCAATTTTAAGTCTTTAAGCTATTTTGATATTCAGGTATGGGTCGTGTTCACCTTCCATTAAAAAAAAATCCATTTTTAAAAGGTTAAATTTACCAAAATAAAGCTCCCGTAGCAAAAACTCCTCTCCTAAGTGGGAGTTCACTTGTTTAAATTGTGGTGGTTGTATGAGGCACGTAAAGCACGTTAGAGTGTCCCCTTGTATGAGTCATCATGTAACTAAAGCATCTCCTGTGAAGCCATCCTGTCAATGAGATAAGGCTCGATTTCTTTCATCAAATTTTTTACGCAAGGAACCTCAAGAATTTTATTAAACAATTCAACAAACCAGCGACGTCGTAACAAATTTAAGGATACATTGCAAGAACCACCCTTCATGTTTACCCTATTTTTCAAGAAACCTCCTTATCTGAGAAGTTTAACAAAAGAGGCTCTCATCTTTGACTTTTAATGAAACCATTAATTGTGTATTGAAGTTTCGAAACAAGTCTGCACTTCAGAATTGACATATTTAGGGAGTTGAAAGAAAGAAAGAGAAAAATTGGTTCTTGGATACAAAAGAATCTGAACGTTTTATTATTCATGTAGAATCATGCCTGCAGACTCTGCCCATTCATAACTTCATTACAAAAGTAACAGTTCCATTAATGATCATAGATAAAGTGGCTTCTTCAAATCCAGGGCATAGACGAAGGGAGTTTTGTGTAATTTACCCCAGTGTTTTAAAAGGCTCGCGCCTCATTGCACCTTATACGTCTTGCAATGTGGGGCGGTGGCGAAGCGCCCCACATCTGATGCAGCAGCGCTTTTTGCGCCTCGCGTACATCCTTACTTTGTGCAGGGTGCATGTAGTATATATTCTCATATAGTTTTGTTTGTTAACATTTCAGACGAGTCTTTTTACTTGATAATCCATATCCCAAAAAAGCAAAATAAATCCATTAGGCCTTTTTAGTAGCCTTCAATTGAGGACCATTACTAATCATTTGCTTGGATGTTAGTCTTGATTTAACATTTGATTTGAAAATTTATGAATTTTGCTACTATGTTGGGTGTTTGATTTGAAAATTTATGAATTTTGCTACTATGTTGGGTGTTAGCATTAGAAATTAAGGCATTATATTATGATTTTGTATTTATGAATTTTGCTACTATGTTGGGTGTTAGCATTAGAAATTAAGGCATTATATTATGATTTTGTAGAAATATATTATTTATCCTGACATATTTTTATGTAAATTCTAAAAACATGTATTTTCGCGCTTGATTCTATATATTGAGAAATTATGTGTGCGGTGTGCACCTTGCATCACTCGGGAACGCGCATCGCGTTGCGCCTTGCGCATGTGCTCGTAAAAGATGCTTTGCGCTCCGCATTGCGCCTCACCCATTGACAACACTACTTTACCCAAATTTAAATGCCAAACCACAAGTCTTCACTCTTTTATTCTACTGTAGGTCGTGGTTGGTAGCTTTCTGCCAAGTTACCAGATTGAACAGAAGTCAAAAAAAGCAAGATATGAGACATTCAGCACAGAGATGGAAGAGACATACAACAGTAGCGGTTATGGGCAAAAGACTAAGAAGCCAAGATACGAGACATCATTCACATCAATCTCAGTGCCTGCAGGTGCAATCCCTATACCCAGCACCGAGATGGAGGAAGCTACTTATAGTGTTCATGGGCAGCAGAGTTCAACTCCAAGACCGAACATTTCTTCAACTTTCAAGGGAGATAACTGGTCTGCTGCTCCTCTACACTCCGTACCTGAACAGAGGAGCTCTAATACTGATATTAACATATCCTTGCCTGGGGGTTAAAAGAGATGGAATTTTGTTTGCTTGCATTTCTAACTAGCTTCTTGTAACTTTTGTTGTGAAATTTAGACATTTTCTTGATGGAACTTGTGTTAGGATTCTAGAACTGTAACTTTATTGACTTTGGAGAGTTTTCTGTTAATTGTTGTTGCTATTTGTATTTGTAACACCTGATTTTTTTAGATGGTGCTCGAACTCAATTATGAGCTCTTTGGATGAACTTTAAATCAGTGAGCTTTCACTGAGTTGTTTTTCTTGGAGTTGTTAGTGATGGGTTTTCTTTGTGCAATATGTGCAATGTAGATGAAAGAAGAGCCAGCATATGATGCGCGTCACACATGGCCAGTTATTAATTTTCTTGCGTGATTTGTGCTGAGAGCTGTGCTGAGAGCAAAGAGAAGGCTGTCAGAAACTGGAATTTGTTGTTAGTTGCATGAAATGGCGCTAATTTTTTTTTTTTGATTTTTCAGTTAGTTTTCTCTAAATCTTCAGTTAGTTGAATGAAATGGTGCTAATTTCTTTTGATTTTTCAGTTAGTTTTCTCCAAATCTCTTCCAAGCTGCACCAGATAGTGAAATAATAAACATTGCATATCCATTTCTTTTGCTGCTGAGATTGTGACAAAAACACAGTAAGAACCTTTAGATATATCTTTGGCACATACCCAACTTGTTACGTTCAAAAGAAACAGAAGTGTTTGATCCAATACATCAACTTTATGTTGAGAAACTTACAAAATCCATCAATTTCATAATCTAAGTTTATCACAGCAAAGTACTTCAAAGGATAGCTAAAGCTATCATGCTGGCTTTTCGTAAGTGTTCTGATCCCTATACTCGGCAATCTTGGTTTGGATCATCTCTGCAACATGAGGTTGAACGAACATGTGGGTGCTGTCGAGCATGTGAACAATGAACTTCTGAGAAGCAGGAAGAGAAGAATTCATATTGATAATCAACTGGGCCATAGGGACATCACTGCAAAGCAATCACGACAAGAGTGAATAGACGAGATGGTAAATAATTGGGAAATAAGCTTTATATATAGATTATTCGAGAAATATATACATTTCCTCTACTACACTCTATTTGGCTTAGGGTAGATGGAGGGTTATAGGGATAGTTTAGACCTTTTACACCTATTTAATGCCGTTTATGACAATTCCAAATATTTTTGAGTTTTTTTTGGTTTAATGCTGTTTATGACAATTTCAAACAGTTTGAGTTTTCTTGTTTTGTTTTTTTGTTTTTGTTTTTGTTTTCTGAATAACTTGAAAAGCCAATGGTGGTTCTCCCTAAATTGTATATCGTTTTGGGGGAGTTTTGTGCAAAACAACCAAAAGTTCAGGGGAGCTTTGTGTGCAAAACAACCAAAAGTTCAGGGGAGCTTTGTGAAATCTAGTGTTAAGAGAAACCATAGCAACAAAGTTAATTATGTTTTGGGACTAACCAGGAAATGAAAAGGCCTTTAATTGCATTAACCATCTTGTGATCCTGTACGAAGACAGGTGAAGGTCAGAATATCAACTAGATGTTAAGTGAAGCAAAAATGAGGAGAAATGCATTGAAATTTAAGTTTCAACTAACTATAAACCATAAGTAAAACTGAAGTATTTTTCTGTCTTCGTTACTGCTACATACTAGAAGTGTTTCTCTACTTGAAAGGACCCCAAGCAGAGAAGGATTTAAACATCCAAATAGCTCATAAAGACATTAAGAATTACAGGGGCTACATCAAAAGCAGGCTTAAAAAGAATATAGATAATCAGATTAATCGATGATACTTAACTTCTTTGAAAAAACTTAAATATATATATATATATATATATATATTATATATATATATATATATATATATATATATATATATATTATATTATATATTATATATTATGGAAATATGAGAATGCTTGGTACCAAACACAAATTTTTGTGCTTAATAGTGAGGTAGCACAATCCCCTCTACTCATTCAAATGTGTCCACATTCACATGGGTTGAGGAGTGTATGAGGATATGCAACCATTTGAATGAGTTGAGGGGATTATGCCACCTCACTACCAAGCACACCCATCTCTCTCTCTCTCTCTCTCTCTCTCTCTCTATATATATATATATATATATATATATATATATATATATATATATATTATATATAGAGAGAGAGAGAGAGAGAGATTAATGGGTATCCTTGTCATAGGAGGGGATTTCCTCCTTGACGCCTATGTGGCACAATCTCCGCATCCTCATAAAGTAGGAAAGAGAGTATGAGTAGTGGGATTTGTGCCTACTTCATGAGGATGGTGAAGATTGTGCCACATAGCGACAAGGAGCGGAAATCTCCTCCTATGACAAGGATACCCATTAATCTCAATATATATATTATATATATATATATATATATATATATATATATATATATATATATATATGAGATTAATGTGTATCCTTGTCATAGAGGGGATTTCTCCTTAACGCCTCGATTGAGCGCATTGTGCGATGATCCCCTCCGTTGAACTTGATCTACATATTCTAAACCCCAACACACAAGTTTGGGGTGAACCCGTCGTCGTTTGACCCTTCATCCACTCGCTATCAATTTTAACGGTTTTGATGAATAGAACTTTTCACATGGCTTGATGGAGGCGACACGACGACGGATTCACCCAAACATGGTGGTAGGTGTTTAGAATAATGTAGATCAAGTATCCGGAGCGGATCATCCACAATGTCGCTCAATCATGTGATTTTAGAGAGCGTCAAGGAGAAATCCCCTCCTATGATAAGGATACCCTTATATCTCCCTCCTTCTCTCTCTCTCTCTCTCTCTCTCTTCTCTCTCTCTATAATATTATATATATATATATATATATATATATATATATATATATATATAGAGAGAGAGAGAGAGAGAGAAGTATAGAACCAACTCTGGTTACTAAAATGGATGAAATGCACAATACTAAATAATACCCAATCATCTGTCTAAAATAATCAGAAATCAGGTATATATAGAAGTATAGAACCAACTCTGATTACTAAAATGGATGAAATGCACAATACTAAATAATGCCCAATCATCTGTGTCTAAAATAATAAAAAAATAGGTGGAGGGGTAAAAATGTTTGCTCTAGGATATACACTACAGTGATCCCTCCTGTCACAGCTGATAACTTTTGCATCAGCTTAATTAGGAGGATACCATAACTTATACCTGAACTGAACAATTTTCTAAAGGTGGATGTTATTGGATTTCGGCTTTAAACAAAACCCTAAACCCTTCAGGTATCCTCTTTGACATATTCTTCTTCAGCAATTCTTAGGTAATGCATGGACCCCTAAAATCATCTTTTTTTTTTCTCTTCTAGGAGGCTCTATACAAATATTATTTACATTTTGGTATTCTTAGATGTCATTATGTATGTTTAGATTATATTTTAATTTTGGGGACACTACTATACATGCACATTATCCAATATGATACTCTGATATTTACCACATGCCCCTAATATTTCCCCAATATCTGTGATCCGTTATGGACTTTGATCATCCAATATTCATCCGATATCCGATATTTTAAAACCTTGACCTAAGGCAACATAAAGTGAATTGCTATACATAACAGCTTGAACTAAATTCTCCTTTCATGTTTTGTCTACCATAGAATAAAGCAATTCAAATGGCATTATTCAATATTTTGAAAGCATCCCTTGACAAAAAATATTGTTCCACTTGGATTATCACAAATTAACTTTGCGACGGACCTTGATTTTCACTCGAGTTAAACTCTTCTCCCTAGCTATTGTATAACCCTTTATATATATATATATATATATAATGATATTGTGATATGGTGAGCTCAAATCTTATTGTGAGCTAGACTAATCGACTCATCAAATTTATAATTGACACTATACATCTTGTTCAACACGTCATTAAATATATATCATAAAATTTTCACATAATTTTAAGTCTTCTAGAATATGAATCAAACTAATTTAATATGTTAATTTTTCAGGCAACTTAACATCCATCCCATCCATATATAGCTAAAACCATTATTAAAAGTTTTAACCAATGTAATTTTTAACATATAGATCATGATGAGTGCAAATCACGATGGACAGTGACAATCATCAGTTCGAATAGCCTAATGGGCCAAGTTTCTCCATTTTTCTCATATATATATATGTATATATATGTATATGTATTCAATATTGTCCACTCCCTCTTCCAACCACATCATTCTAATCTCATGACACGATGAAAACTTCGCCACACTCTATAATTAGCAATCTGAGTTTAACAGTCACTCTCTATAATCTCATGTCCACAAATAAGTTGAAAATGTCGACTCACACCCAGTGGCGTAGCCATGAATTTTTTTTGCCCTGGGCGAAAAAATAATCCAGGCTAGCGATGAATCCCAAGACGCAAACATCGACGAAGGAGACGCCTCGTCCTCCAGCTCCTCCGTCGTCAGAGTCGGTACAAAACCTAACTTTGAGCGGAGTGCATTTTGTTGTAGTGCTCATAGCTTCTTTCCATTGTCCTCGAATAGAATGACCAAAGATAATGCAAGTATAAGTATTGCAAAAAGTAAATCTTAGGTTGCATTATCCATCGGTCCTTGTTTGCATAGAGCGTCATGTTGTAAGTGAATGCATCAAGCTCAATGTCCCCTTATATTTTCATCTTCTTCTCTCTATATATATATTTCCCAAAATCTTGCCCTGGGCAGCTACCCAGGACAAGTCTCATGTGGCTCCGCCACAGCTCACACCCTGTGACTAGTTTTCAATGTTTTTCCTCTCAATTTCGACATCCTACAACAATAAAAGGATTCAGCACCTTTTTTAGCCATCCCCACTCTCTTTTCATCTGTTTTTCACAAAAGAGGGGGAAGAAGAAAAGAAAGAAAAACCAATGGGTACATGCCCATTTCGTGGATATTAAATCTAATTTCCCAATATAGAGTAAAAAATAATGCATAGGTTGTTATTGCTAACAATTAGCTTTGAAATCTTCAAAGAAGGGATGTAACATTTCTACAAACATGTCATACGCATAAAGGTGTTCTAAGAGATCTGAAACCATAAAAATTGGAAGGAGAAACTTAAGAAGACAGAAGAGAATTAGGAGAAAATGAAATAATAGTGATAAAAAATCTCACAAATTCCAATAAAAATTTTTGATTTCTCCACCACTAGAAAAATTGAGGGGGGGGGGAAGAAAATCAAATTAATAGGTAAGTATATGTTATTCTGTAAACTCATGTTTAAATTAGAATGAATTTTGTAGTTTTAGTTCAATTATCAAATAGTAATTAGTATATAAATTTATAATAAAATTAATTGCAATAATGTATGTTGATTTTTTAATCTTTTCCATATATCAATCTCATATATGCTTAGCTTATACAAATATTGCCCTTTTAATCATGAAAAATATAAAAGGATGTATGCTCTTGAAACATATGAACACTCTTCCTCCTCCATAATTAGACAAATTAGAGAAAATTAGGAAGGGGGATCAAGCATAGTAGTCATTATTACACAATATAATTTGTCAGGTTTAGGACAAAATTAGGGCAAAATAAAAATTAGGGCAAAGTGAAATTGACACAATTTGGAGGGGGGGGGACAAATCTAACTACAAATACTACAGATTAGGGAATTTTGAGAATAAACTCGTGAAAATTGAAGGGGAAGGGGAAGGGAAGAGAAAAATATGAGAGTGAGAGCTTACGGCAATGAAGAGAGAAACATGTACCTCTTCACGAATATCGATGTATTAGCGCGGTCAGAGGCGGTAGGAGATGCCCTGAGAGGACTTGCGTGAGATGCGTCTTAAGTTTTGAGAAACCCAAAACTCAAGAAAAGCGTTTTCGGGTCGAGTTTGAGCCCAAAACAAACGGAAATTTAGAAAAGTGTTTATTTTGGGTTGGGTTAAGTTTAAGACGAGAACAAACTCATTGGTAGCCAAACAAAATCTATTTCGTTTCTAGACAAAGTAACTTGGAAGTGGCTACTTTTAGAAAATCAATTTCCCAAATGTGGTCCAAGTGATCCAAAATATGATAGCTCATTTCGAGGTCAAATTCTAGGAAATGAGTTGGAAACTGATCAAGTCATTTTCTTTTTTCCTCTTGAATTTTGTTTATCTTCTTAGGAAAAGAGCTGAATTCTCCCAGTTAAGTGAAGGGTGTCACATCGTCCTTATGAGAGAATAGAGAAATTACTTTTTTACTTCCTCTATACTATTTTGAGTTTTTCATTATTCCCTTTACTTTTCATCATGAAAAAACAAACAAAATGAATGTCACCGTAAAAATATAAAAAAAATCTGAGGCATGCACTGCTAGGGACTATAGTCCTAACCACGGTTCCATTACTCATGTGACAATCAACCTATAAGTAATAGATCCAAGTTAACATCAAGATCTAAGATTTAGATAGTTTTAGGTGCGTTTGACGACCAATGACAACCGCTTCCTTGTCATCATATCCCATTATCATACCATTGTCCTTTTCTTTGCCCGCCGGCTGCCTAGCTAGATATTCTTTGAGATCAGGGAAGCATGAATTCCTTATTTATCACCCGAGTCTTACTATTTAGGCAGAATGTCGTCAATGTTTGATCCTCTCGTCTCTCTATTTATTAGGCACACAAACAAAAGCAAGCACATCTTTTTTTTCTTTTTGGTGGGGAGAGGACAAGGATTTGTCTCTATTTTATCACCGGGTTGGATTAGGAGAAAGAGTTGAGTTTGGTGCGGCTAGGCTGGGACACTAGGTATGGCTGAGTCAAACGCAGGAAAGAAAGAAAGAACAAAATTGTTCAAAACCTGTCGTCTGGTATAACACGAAAATAGTCGGGACCGGTGAGTAGCCCTACTGTTTACGCTTTGTCTAGAAACGAATCAGATTTTGTTTAGCTACCAATGAGTTTGTTCTCGCCTTAAACTTGACCCAACCCAAAATAAACGCTTTTCTAAATTTCCGTTTGTTTTAGGCTCAAACTAGACCCGAAAACACTTTTCTTGAGTTTTGGGTTTCCGTTTCAAAACTCAAGACGCATTTCACGCAAGTCCTCTCAGGGCATCCTCTACCGCCTCCGACCGCGCTAATACATCGATATTCGTGAAGAGGAACAACCGAAATTCGATGATGACTGATGAGTGGCTGCTAGGGGACCGTTAACAACCGAAATTCGATCCCTCGATACACGCTGACTTCAAAAGAGAGGGAAAAAATGTTCAGCCCCTTTGTGAGACTGCAAGCATAATAAAAAGCATAATTAACTTCACTAAAAAAAATTCTGGGTCTACCTTAAAATTTATAATAATGCTATTTATAACAAAGTGCTTCATATGGACAGCTCAAAATTGAATTAGTTATATTCATGATATCATATATCACTGAAAAATGTTTGCATCCTACTAAATCAGGCAATTTAACAATGTCATCCTATCTCAAACTAGGCTATTTAACAAGCGCAATGAGCAGATAATTGTAGACAAGATCTGATGGAAAACGGAAAACTGAACAAGTATATAAAATTCGGCTTCAACGAAATATTTATTTTATCATGTTACTATTATACACTCAAATTCTTTGAGATTGAAAAAGTAACTAATATATCCATAACTTTCACTCTATCAGCAGCATTTTGATGCAATAGTAAAAAAAAATTTACTGGCAAGGGGAAGCAGGACTGCGGCTGCGGCTGGGGGGAAGCAGGACTGCGGCTGGGCGGAGGAAGTGCCGAAGTGGGCTGGGCGGCTGTAGTTAGAGACTTGGAGGGGAGTTAGGGTTTAGGTATCATTTGAGGGATTCTAAGTGAACCTATCTATCAACGGGTCGGGTATGGGTTTCGGGTCAAAAATATAGTGTTAAAGTGATGCGGGGTTCGGGCGGTTCGGGTTGAAAAATTTTCAACCCGACCCGAACCGACTTTCAAATAAAACCGATCCGAACCGTTAATTTTTGTCCGGTTCGGTTGGTTTTTTCAATTTGGACCGAACCATGCACAACCCTACTTCCAACCAATAAAAATAGGAACCACGTTTCGAAAGTGTTCTTAGAATTTTGTTTCCACCATTTCCTCCATCCAACCGACGTCTTACTTGCTAGTCGCTTTCAAATTGCCAAACAGAAAAAGTCGAATGTGGAGCCAGTTTACATTTTCTATTTCACTTCTCAAAGTTTCTATTTGCGCAATATGTCAATTTCATATTTGTAATTTGCACTTCTCAATCCATAAGATTGTGATAAAAAACATCCTCATTTCAAAAGGAGATGATGATTTGGGGGTGCAAATTACAAATTTTAAGATTTGGGGGTCTAATAAAAAAATAGCAAAGAAGTTACAGTTTAAAAGAGAAATCATTGTAGGTCGCCACTTTTACTGGTGTGTGTCATAACTTCACTTTGTTTTATCATGGTTTTCTCGTATTAGACGCAAAACTCTATCTTATTTTCATAGTAGGCCTTCAAATCTTCATAGTCACCCCAAATCTGTATAAGTAGTTTTCAATGGCACTCCCATATTTGTAACTTACCTATAAAGTTGTTTCAAATAACATCCTCATTTTGAACCAATATGAAGATCTGAGAGTCTAATATAAATATATGATAGAAGCAAGGGTTTAATATTAAAAAAAACCCGGTTGTCAAAATCAATCTTAGTAGATCATGCATCAGTTATTACTGGTTGAATTAGAAGTTGGGTTTATTAAAGTATATGTAAATACTAGTGTGTATTAAATCCTAGTTTAGTCCCACATCGACTATATGTGAAGAAATAGTCCTTTGTACATCTATATGTTTGGCTTGGAGCCTAATAGAAAGAGTGATATTTTCCCAATATTCTGAGTTTAACATGGCACCAGAGCCTTTTTGATCTTAGTCCAATTAATCTCAAGCGCACTACAAGAGATTTCCCCCTTAATTAATCTCACAGGCCCCATAAGGGATTTCTTTTCCCTTTCCTCTTATGTGACTTCATAAATCACCTATAAGGTATTTTCCCCTAATTAATCTCATAGGTTTTGCTTCGCTTTTCTCTCTTGTGATTTCACAAATCACGAAATTAGCGCGGTTACAACATGCTTCCAACTAGATTTAATTTGACAAATCTGATTTACAGACTTGTAGACATTCACGCCTCCTTCAAATTTAGGCATCTAATCCTCCTTAAATTCGGGCATTAACGCCCATAAAATATAGGCATTAATGCCTTATCAAATTCAAATTGTAGCATTAACATTGTCATTGCAACACCTGGAAATACATATCATCAACAAATTGATGTCAAGCTTGAGGGACCGAACTACCGTGTATGGGTGTTTACTCTCAAGTTTTACCTATTGAGTAGAGGTCTTTGGGGCATGTCGATGGATCTTCTTTACCTCCTGTCAAAGGTACATGCATCACTAATGATGCATACAATTAAGCTCTTCAAGGCTAGACCATAGACGAACATAAAGCAATGACCTTTCTCATTCAATCAGTTACACCAACCATTTGGCTGCAACTGGTTAATTGCACTTCCGCTAAATCTATATGGATGCATCTCCAGGGTTTCTACACTCATTAGGATGATGCACATGAACATCATCTACTTCAGGAAGTCGCTTTGGCACAACAAGGCGAAAGATCCGTTCATGAATTTTATACTTATATGATGGATTTGTGGCAGCAGCTTGCAGCTCTTGAACCGCAACTCTTGAACCTGCCATAATTGACCTAGAACCAGTCAAAAGTTTCGATTAATATCGAGATCGACAATGTCTATTTTAATTTCTCATGTGTCTTCATCCTGAATATGAAACTCTTCATGGACAGCTGGTTCATTGTGTACCACGTCTCGCACTGGATAATGTTGTTGCCTAGCTTCTTGTTGATAAGACGAGACTCTTTATCTCAGCAACCATCTCAGAGTTCTGTTCTTGCTACTTCCAAGCAATTTTCTTGACCATCGAACCATTACATGGAGTTTATAGTCAAAATGGTGTCACCTTTACAAAACAAAAACTCATTCCATTGAAGAATGTCGAGCAAGTGCTTCAAAACATGCTGAGAAACCCCTACTAGACGTTCGTACTAGCACCATCCCAATGATTCCTCACAGGCTACTATTTCTAACTTCTCATCATCTACCTCCAAATCAAAAGCTCCAATTGATCATCATGACCATCTGCGTCTTTCAAGAACTGTTTCAATCTTTAAATATTAGTAGTAGTTCTTCTGAAATGTCTCATGCTGTATCTGTTGGCCTCTTTGTTTTAATGATATTTAACAAATAATTTACCACTAATGTTGTTTGTCTTGTGTTTGTCATTTTCTATTTATTATATACAAACAACAAGTTGGAGGATGGATGGAATCGAGCATTCACGTTCATATCCAATAGAGGTTGGCAGAAATCGTGGAGTGAAGCCTTGCAATTCAAGTTAAAGATTCAAGTTCAAGCTTCATCCGCAAGTGTACCAAGTAGAGCTTATTGATGATCAAGATCATAGCTTGGGTAATATAGTATAGGTTTTATATTATGTATGTTTAATACTTCAAGCTCAATATTATACACACACGCGTTTTCTTGGTTTATCCATTTTTTTGTTTTAGCCATAAATAACGTTTTTCCAAACAATATTTATATTCATACATGTTTGTTTTTACGTGGATAAGTTGGTTTGGTTTAATTTCATAGATATGAAACAAATATATATTCATATACATACTCATATGTTTCATATTCTATTGTATTGGTGAAAATATTGTATTCTTAGTTTTTAGACTTAACAATATTCATATACATCTTTTATTAAGTTTACAAAATTATTTTGTAATGTTTCAAAACATGGTTAAGCTAAAATGTCAAAACTCATGTGTTTATATTTTTATGTTTTGGACTATTTTACAAAATGATGATATTTTCCTAAAATGTCAAAACTCATGTGTTTATATTTTTATGTTTTGGACTATTTTACAAAATGATGATATTTTCTATTTGGGATGTCCTTTTTTAAAAATCAGTTTTTGTAGCATGTTTATTATCATGTTTACAATCATTTCCCAAAGTTTTACATTTTTTTGATTTTATTTGCTATTTTTAAAAGAGGTTTAAAAATCAAATTTCTGTTTAAAACAGATAGTGTGCATGTCTTGAGTCGACTCATGAACAGTGTTAAGTTGACTCATAAATTGTTGTGTAGTTTACGTTTTGTTTCTAACGAGTCGACTCATAACATCATGAGTCGACCCATCAGGTTGAGTCGACTCATACCTGTCATAAGTCGACTCACAAACTGTGCTGGAAAGTGTGTTTTGTTTCTGCTGAGTCGACCATGCATGATGAGTCGACTCATGGATTTTATGAGTCGACCCATAAGTTGGTTTTTAGCTTGTAATGGCTACTTATGAGTTGACTCATGAACAGTACCGAGTCGACTCATAACATTGTAACGGCTATATTTCCAGACTGTACTGTTTTTGGATTTTTGGTCTTTTTGCTTTGTTTTCTTTTGGCTTTCGGGTTCCTATAAATATCCCCACATATCCTCAGTTCTAAAATATCCAAGAAATGTTTTAAACAAGTTTAACAAGGGTTTTAAAGTTTGTTTAGTGTGTTTTAAAAGAGTTTAACAAGGGTTTTAAAGTTTGTTTAGTGTGTTTTAAAAGAGTTTGTTTGTGAAGAAGTTTCTTACAAGTAGAGGAGATCATCTACATTGTGTTTAGTGTGTTTTAAAAGAGTTTGTTTGTGAAGAAGTTTCTTACAAGTAGAGGAGATCATCTACATTGTTTGAAGCTTCATTTTAATCCATCCCTCCATCTTGTTTTTTAGAAAAAAATTTCTAAATTCAATACTAGCTTTGTATTAATTATTTGTTATTTATCATTTTCATCAAGCTAGGGTTTACATTAAGTTTATGATTAATTTTCTTATTGCTTACACACACAACCATTGAGCTTGTTGTATTTGCATACATTGTATAATTGGGTTGTGGGGAGTTATAACAATTGAGAGTGAGCTTAATTGAGTTCTCATCTATTGTAGAAAA